TTTTTTTTTTTTCAAAGAAAAAAAAAATCCATCCATCAAATAAAATATAAACAACTTTCCAAGCTTTAAAAAAAAACATATTTAATATATATATAAACCATTTTTAATATATAATAAATACATATTATTTTAATGCTATTATATATAATAACGCTATAACGCGGGGAAAAAAAAAAAAAGAAAAATCATAATTTAAAGCTAATTTATCCCATCGGGAAGATATTTTTCATTTGGGAGATTTTTTTTCAATCGAAAAATTTCGTCTCTATATTTAAAAACTTCCGTACGGTCACATGTTGGATGTGTTATGTTTACATCTTTTACACAATTCAGATCTGATGGCTGCATTAACAAAAGAGAAACCAATAACAGCTGACAAGAATGTCTATACCAAACAAGCAGATTATACAAAAGCTTGGAAACATGGTAAAAATGGTAAAAATATCCATTATACAAAACAATACAAATGTCATGAACCATTATTACAAAGGCATCGTAATCCTGATATAAATTATAACAAGAAACAGTTCAAAGAAGAAAAACATCGATGTTATAATGATGAACGATCGGTGCCAAATGAAGAGAATGGAGAGAAGGAGAAACAAGTTCCAATAAAAAAGTTTGATAAAAAAATGTAAGTTTTTTTTTTTTTCAATAAAAAAAAAAATATGATAAATATTTATTTATATTTATTTATATATTTACATTTTTTTTATCTTTTTTTTATAGCAATACAAGTTATACCCCTTTCACTTTGGGTTTACACGTTTTAATAATATTTCAACATATTTATACGTTATATACCACACCAACATCATCCATCCCATTACGTTTTGCTTCATTTACTCAATTAGTATATGTTACTACTACTTGTTTTCATATTGCCACTTTATTAGCAAGTATATTCAAGATAATAAAATTAGAAAGAGCTTTCGTATTATATGGAACATGGGTGATTTGGATTGGTTGGGCTATGTGTTTATGGCTTATACGACCTGAAGATAGACCTGATTTATTTAGAGCTCTTACTGCAAATGGCGGTGGTGGTATTAATCGTTATTACGTTAATCTTAATGGATCTTATGATATTGAAGACCTTCTTGCCCCTATGGATGTTTCACCTTTTCTTATGCATGGAAAATGGTCAACCACCACCTTACCTATAATTTCTTTCTTCTTATTACTAGTCATTCGTCGAAATCATTGGGGTTTAATCACTTGGGAACATTTAGTTTTATTGGATTATTCAAGAACTCTTAAATGGTATCGTACTTGGTGTGTAGCCGGAGCTGGTGCTGGTTGGATGCTTACATGGGAAGCTGCTAAATTCTGGCTACTCAGGATTCCATTTTCTGAAGGTGAAATGATACTTCATAGAACAGATCTTCCAACATTTCCTGGAGTGTTTAACGTTCTATGGGCCAGTAGTATTGCTGGTATACTTATGGTATGCTGGTGGAGCTTTTGGACCTTTCAATATCGTGGAGTTGTATGGAAGAAAGAATTTAAAGAGGGTGTTGTAGTTTGGTCATCATCAGATGGTTTAGTATGTGTTGGTGCTATTAGTTGTTAATGGGTATATAAGGGTTATATGGTATAATTGGTATTATTTGGTAATTACTATTGGTATTTTTATTTGGTTCCCTTTAAAACAGAACATTTGTTTTAAAATTTTGGTCATTTTGGTATATGGATTCATTCGGTCATTTTGGTTTATGGGATTTATTCATTTCAAAAAATTATTCATTTATTATTTTTACTATTCACGTTTTTTTTATTATTCACCGAACAATTGAACAATTTGGATGAAAATGATTTTTTCAAATCTTTTTTAAATTTCCCCAACTTTCCCCTCCAAAAAAAAAAAAATCATTTAATCTTAAAAAAATCACTTTGATTAACATCGATACAATTTTGTAAATTTTCATTTCAAAAAAAAAATCAAAAATTCAAAAATTCAAAAATACAAAAAATCAAGAAAATCAAAAAAAAAAAAAAAAATAATTACGACATTTGTGCGTAAATAATTTTTAATGCTTTCTTTATTTTTTTCTTTATTTTTTTTCATTGTGTAAATATTTGGATAGGTTTTAAAAAAAAAAATTCATTTTTTTTTTTTACATCANCTTAAAAAAATCACTTTGATTAACATCGATACAATTTTGTAAATTTTCATTTCAAAAAAAAAATCAAAAATTCAAAAATTCAAAAATACAAAAAATCAAGAAAATCAAAAAAAAAAAAAAAAATAATTACGACATTTGTGCGTAAATAATTTTTAAAACCAAAAGTATTGTATTTTTTATATTCATATAATAAAAATTTTTTTAATTCGATATATAGATAAAAAAAAAAACAATTAATTATTGACGTCATATCATTCTTTTGTTCTAAACTTTACATAATAAGAGTAACATGATAAAAAAAATAAATGATAATCAGGTATGTAATCAATTATCAATGTAATCAATCCATTTATAGTTTAGTCTTTTATTAAGGAAAATACTTTTTGTAAAAGATATTTTTACAATTTTTACAAATTAGGAAAACGATACCAGATATTCATATATAACTATACAAATGGATTAGATTATCTTACAAATTAGGAAATGTTCATTTCACAAACAGGTTTATCCTTTTTTGATACGATTAATGATATATTCGGCTGATAGGGAGAGTAACTTAACTTTAAAATCGTAAAGTTTTTGACCCTTTTTGGCTTTCAAAAAAAAAGAATTCAGAACGATTTTTTTTAATATACGTAAAGAAAAAATGGTTAAATTTACGCTTTTAGCTTTGCTCGCTTTATTTCCTTTAGCGTTAAGTGCTCCTCCTTGTTCTCATCAGAAACATGTAAAATCTACTTTTGATTTGAATTATCAAACAAACTCTGAACCTTTATTTGGAAGTTTAAGATTAATACAGACTGGTGAAGATAAAGAACCGGAATGGATGACTGAGAATGATGTTATGAAATTAAAAAGGAATAATATTAATTTTATGGATGTTACTGATTATTTGGAACTTGGAACACATTACAAACCTTCCAATAGACGCGGTAAAAATTTTTGATCTTTTAATCACATTTTAAGCTAACTAGTTGACATTAATTTTTATTCGCTGACTGATCGATCTCGATAATAAAATCACGATTCATAATTTTAGAATATCCGGTAAAACCTTCTTATAATGAGGAAGTTAACCCCTTCATTGGAAATCTTACTACCAAATATATGGAAGAGAATCTTGAAAAATTCACTTCTTTCCATAACAGATATTATCGTTCTGAATATGGTTTAGAGTCTTCAAATTGGCTTTTTGATCATATTTCTAACATTATAGAAAATCATGGTGATAAGAGTGTTTTATCCATTCGAAAGTTCTCGCACAACTGGAAGCAAAATTCTATCATTGCACGGTATGTTAAATTCATGATTTTTGTGATCGTTTTTTTCAAGGTTGAAATATAAAGTTTGTATATATATTTATAAATATATATATTAATAAGATTTGAAGGTTATGATCCTGATAAGAGTAACGAAGTTGTAATTGTTGGTGCACATCAAGATTCGATACATATGGTATGATAAAATATTTTAAAATATTTCGGAAATATCAAAAATTTCATTTAAAATATTGAAATCCTAAATAATTATTATTTTGTAGTGGCTTCCAACTTTTGGTAGAGCCCCTGGAGGTAATAAATTTTGAAAATTTTCCTATTATTATTATTTGAATGACTTTGATATAATTTTATTCTAAAGTAAAATCATTTATTTAATAGCTGATGATGATGGAAGTGGTACCGTCACTATATTGGAAGCATTTAGAGTATTAGTAACCGGAGGATTTAAACCGCAAAGACCTGTAGAATTTCACTGGTATTCTGCTGAAGAAGCCGGTCTCTTGGGTTCACAGGCCATTTCCTTGGAATATGAAAAACAAGGAAGAAATGTTATTGGCATGATTCAGGTATTTAAATAAAATAAAATTGAATAATACGAATATTTATATTAACTTTCAATTTTTTTTAATAGAATGACATGACAGGATACATTGGAAGTCGTAGCGCGGAGCATATTGGAATTGTTAATGATTATGTGGATGAAGATTTAACCAGTTTCGTAACAAAACTCATAGGTTCCTACGTTGATATACCTTTTTCATTAACCAAATGCGGGTTAGTTTACAACTGAAATTACATAAATATAATTAATAATAATAATTTTAATAATTCTAATTATTTATCCATTATTTTGTTATTTTCAGTTACGCTTGTTCCGATCATGCTTCATGGCGAAAGGTTTGTAGATGTCAACTGTATCGGTCGAAGACCGATATAGTCCATTATCTCACTTAATTAGTATTGATATTGATTAATATTGTACCAAGTATTTGATTTACCTATTGATTAATCTTGGTACAAAGTATTGATTAATATTGATCGATTAAACAAATATTATTATGATCCTGAACAATAAATGAGTTTATTTGATTGTTTACTTACTTTTATTTATTAATAATATTACTAGGCCGGTTTCCCCTCTGCATTTGCTATTGAGGGTGATTTTAGTGACTCGAATCCTCATATTCACTCTCCAAATGACTTAACTAAATACATTAGTTATGATCATATGCTTCAGTTCTCAAAGGTTGGTTTAATTTTTATTTTATTTTATTTTGAATCGGTAATCATTGTCGCTAACTTTGTTTTTTTTTTATTTCTTAAATAGTTGAGCGTTAGTTTTGCTGTTGAATTAAGTCACGCTTAATTTTCTTATTGATGACTTTTTTTTACATTCTAATTGTTCCCTTTGTCAAATAATTGCTCCCTTTGTCAAATAATTGTTCCCTTTGTCAAATAATTGCTCCTTTTGTCAAATAATTGTTCTCTTTGTCAAATAATTGCTCCTTTTGTCAAATAATTGTTCTCTTTGTCAAATAATTGTTAAATTATTGTCAACATAATAAACGATTTATTTAAATTTTAATCCATTACTTTTTACAATGTAAAATGGATTCTTTTCTGTACTAAAGAGTAAAGATATATTTATTTATCGACCATTTGTCTAAATATGCGCTAATAAAATAACTACATGTAGACCGATCAATTTTGCGCAAATCCACATGGTTTATTCATGTGCGGATCCTAATCGATTAGTAGATTCGGACCGATATTAATTCCAATTTTTTCTTAACCGACCTAACGAGTATCCCCTATTCGATGATTAGCGTGATTTTCCAATATTATTTATTAAGGTTTGTTTATGAAATCAGGTTACCAAGTTGTTTATCAAAAATATAAATAGAAAATGATTTTTAAGAGGTCGAAAGCATCATATCATCATTATTTTCGAGGATCAGTGACTTAAATTGTGAAACTCAAAAAATTATCCTTGCGAAAAAGAATTTATACAATTCCAAAAATGGAATCTCATCTCGGAAAAAGAATTTATTCGCTTCCCATGTCAAATTCAATATTTATGAAAATACTTTCTGGTTGGCAAAATACGGAATATTGATTGTAAATAGTATTTCATCATTGATCATTTACAATATTCACACTTTTTCAATACAAATACGATAGAATCACACAAAGTATAATATATAAGAACCTTTTAAGATAAGTTAAAATTATATATATAATAAATAAATGAATTAGAACTTTTTTAAAAGATAAAAAGAATTTATTGTTTTGAATTAGATAATTTAAAATGAAATGATATAATAAAATAAAAATTTATAAGAACTTTAAATAAAGAAATTTATTGTTTTGAATTAGATAATTAAAATGAAGTGATATTTTATAAATCTGAGATTCTTTCCATATATGAAATAGAATTGTAAAATAAAATTATGTGTACATGACGACCTTTCCCTTCCCTTCCCTTTCTTATAGAAGGTTCAATCCGTTATGAAATTTTGATGTCAATATGTTGAATATTTTCGCTTCACATTCACAAAATTCCAAATTGCTTTTTTTTGTCCAAATTAAACTGATCTTCTATGCGAATTAAGGGAAGGGAATTAGGGTAAGGGAAGGGGATTAGGATAAAGGGAAGGAAATTAGGATAAAGGGAAAGACTGCCAAGTACACATATTTTCAGAAAAGTCTGAAAGACGTCTTGTTTTGCTTTCCAGGAAATCAGAGTAGAGGCCCACAACAGACTTTTAAGAGACATCTTACCCCCCAGGAAATCAGAGTAGGAGGGGCCACAACAAATTTGAAGAAAGAACTTGCAATGCCCCCCCCACACTGACCCATATGTAATTTAAGACTTATCTTCCTCTTTCGATAGCGCATCAGTATTGGAGTTAGCATGATGCTAAATGTTAAAATCATATTGTTATAATTCCATGATCCATCTTGCTCAATTAGGGTTAGGGTTAGGGTTAGTGTTAGTTGGGAGTTGGAACTAAGGAGGGTAAGTAGAATAAGTTGATTGCCAGGGTTAGGATTAAAATAAGGTTTGGCCTTTTGAAGTTTAATTATCTCTATCATCATAAAGATAATAGGATAGATAAAGAAAGAAAATTAGGGTAAGGGAAATTAGAGTAGGGAAATTAGGATAAGGGAATTAGGATAAGGGGAATTAGGATAAGGGGAATTAGGATAAGGAAAATTAGGATAAGGAAAATTAGGATAAGAAAAATTAGGATAAGGGAATTAGGATAAGATATTAGGATAAGGAAAATTAAGGGAAATCAGGATAAGAAATTAGGATAAGGGAAATTAAGGGAAATTAAGGAAATTAGAGAACTTAGGATAAGGGAAATTAAGGGAAATTAGAGAACTTTGGATAAGGGAAATTAAGGGAAATTAGGATAAGGGAAATTAAGGGAAATTAGGATAGGGGAAATTAAGGGAAATTAGGATAAGGGAAATTAGGATAAGAGAAATTAGGAAAGGGAAATTAGAATGAGGGAAAAAATTAGAGTGAAGGAAATTAGAGTGGAGGAAATTGAAGGTAATTGGAGTGAAGGAAATTGGAATGAAGGTAATAAGGAAAAATGATTAGAATAAGAGATTAGAATAAATTAAGGGAATTAGGGTAAAGGGATCAAAGTAAGGGAATTAGGATTAAAGTAACCAAAAGTAACCAATTGGATAAAGGAAATAAAGTAGCATAGAACCCTGGCCTTCTGGTTCTACTAGGGTTTGACTTAAATTTTTAATTGGAAAGCTATATTTCGATAACTTGGGTAACTTGTAAAACTCGGAGTTAATGATAATTTTTTTTTTTCTTTATACAGAGTTTTTTACAACTTTTTTCGAGTAGAGGTAACACTTGCAGTTATGTTGTTAAAAAATCTTTGTATGAAAATATAAATTTGAACATATACAATTTGTACAATGTGCAACTTGACTATCCAATGAATTCGATTAGTTTCACAACATTTATTAAAAGTTCATGAGGAGTGTTAGAAGTCAAAGGACACAGACACCCAGATTAAACGGTACACGACGTATTCAATTTCTCTTTTATTGGGTTTGATACCGCGATATTTGAAAAAGGTGCTTTATCAAATACACAAAAAAAAACTAACAGGGATTTTTTTTTTTCCTTTACTTGCTTCGCCTTTCCTTCAAATTTCCTTTTACTTGGATTAGAAATCCAATAACGACCCAAATTCACCCTATAACACAACCTTCGACAACTCTTTTAAAATATCCTAGAACCAAAAGGAACTTAATAGAAAGTTACTTTAATACATAATTTTTAAAACAAAATGTCTAGTAAAATGTCTTCACGTTCCCGTCGTCGTAAGCACGCCATTTCTCAACTAAATATAATGGTAGTTGGTTTTCGTTCACTTGGCAAGACGTCCTTCATCCGAATGCTTTTCGACACGCTCTCCATCCGTAGAAATTCAAAAGAAGAGCCGGTTCTTCCTGCTTCTTTATTCCAAAGCGCTGAAAGTGTGCGGGACGCAGAAGAAGCGCGCACGAAAGAATTGTATTCTTTCACTTTGGATATTGACGAAGAAGGAGAAAAAATTTCTTTGACCTTAGTTGATACCCCCGGATTTGTAAGGGATAATGAACTTAGACTTGATGTACAGGTTACAGAAGCATTGAGATACATTGAAGCTCAATTCGATCACACATTAGCCGAGGTAATTTTATTTATTCGTGTCAAAAAGAGTTCAAAGGTTTTTGGGTGGTTATATCATTTATTTTAATGAATGCTAGGTAGAAATATATGGATTACTTTAAAAATTAGTTGTATATTAATTATATATTAACTTGGATATATATATATATATATATTTATTTTATTATATTTTATTTTTTAGGAAACAAAAGTAAAACGTAATCCAAAAGCTGTAGATAGTCAAATTCATGCTTGTCTGTACTTTATTGATAACGCAAATAACGGTTTAACTGAGAAAGACATTCGCATTCTGAAACGGTTGACCGTTCGTGTTAATGTTATTCCAATAATTGCAAAAGCAGATTTACTTACCAACACACAACTTGCCAACTTAAAAGAAGCTATCAAAAAAGATTTAAAGACACATGAAATCCCTGTTTTCGCTTTTCCAGTTGATGAAGAAGGAGATGATGAAATGGAACCAGAATTGGCAGAAGAAATTGCAAATGCTCAATCTCAAGTTCCATTTTCTATAATTGCCCCTGAAGATGCTGCCATTACGGATCCAAACACGGGAGATAGAATTCGAGGACGTCAATATGCTTGGGGAATAATTGATTGTTTGAACCCAAAGCATTGCGACTTTGTTGTGTTGAGAAATGTTCTTTTATCGAGCCAACGAAAACTATTCAAGGATATTACCACGGAGGTGTTCTACGAACAATATCGTACTGAACGATTGATGGCCAGAAAGGCGAGTAAGATGATCACCAAGGAACAGAAGAAGAAACTGATGGAGGATTTGTCGGAAATTTAAAGTGATTGAAAAATCAATTTATTTTTCTTTTGTAGTCTTTATTTTTTTTTATTTTCTCTGTAAATTATTATCGAAATTTCTTTTTTTCCTTTTTTTTTTACGCAGCTACTTCTCTTGCCAAAGATCTTGGTCTCGATCTTGTAGACATCTATGGCTGTCTCTTATACACATCTAGATGTGTATAAGAGACAGGTATGGAGGGATTGGTAAATAAAAAAATTATATCTCCCTTACTTTGTTGACTTTAAGGTTTACGTTTTTTTTTTCTTCTTCTTTTTTCCTATTGTTATTATATATCTCAGGTCTAAAGCTCAATTAACTCCATGGAAGAACAAAAAGACTTTATTGCCCGACCGGTTTCGGGCTCTCAACCTCCTTATCAACGAAAATTGATCCTCTCCATACTCAAAAAAAAAATTTCCTCCTCTACACGCCATTATTTCCGACTTACCAATTTTTCCTTTATAGCGAATATATATTTTAATACCATATACCTTCATTCATTTTCTTCTTCCTATCATATTAGATTTGGCTTTATTTTATCACCATTATTTTTTTCTTTGGTGCAAAAGTATTACTTATTTTATTTTATATATTTACTTTATTTTACTTTATTTTATTTTAAATCAAAGCACCCTTATGTATTATTCAATTAACAAGAAACTTTTTTTACCACAAACTTTAATTAAAAAACGAAAAAAAAAAAAATTTGATGAATTCATGAATTTCATACAAATAATTTCACTATTATTAATTTTAATTGTACATTGTATTTTTTTCCCCTTTTATTGAATTGTTAATATTCTTTTTCTTTGGGTTAAATAATTTTTTTTGAGGGAGGAATAAAGTGAAATAATAGATTAAGCAACAACAATTATATTATTATATATACACAAAACATATATATATATATTTTTTTTTTTTTATTAAAAAAAAAATGAAATAAAAAAATTGATGATTTTAGAAATTATTACAATATAAAAAATTTTTAATTTTAATGATATTTAATTTTTTAATTACTTAACTGGGATTACATTATTACCGACCAAAATTTAGTAATCAATTTTTTATTATTTTTCATTGAGGTAACAATCGATCAAAAATTGTTATTGTATTTGATTATTTTTGTTATCAGATTATAATAATCTTGTACAAATTTCCCTGATTAAATTTATTATTGTAAATTTACTGCATATTTTCCTTATAAAGTTTACAATCATGATTTTTTAATATTTATTATGTATAGAATTTTATTAATTACAGAATAATAATAAAGTGAGTGGGTATTACATCATCAAAGAAAAAAAAACAATTTCATTCGTCACATTTTCGTGTTATTACTATAGAATTCTAGAAAAACACAGGTTCAAACATATAAAAATATTATGTAAAGAAGAATGTATGTGATTAATAGAATAAATGCGTGTTAATAGAATAATAAATGCGTTTAGAAATTTTTATTTAATGGTTTTTTTTAAAAAAAAATTATTTGAATGTTGTGTAAAATGTTTTATAATGTACGTTTAAATATTATAAAAAGGAAAAAAGAAATAAGGTTTATAATGTAATAATCTGCGGAAATCTACGAATTTTTGACCGTTAACAAAAACAATGGTATAAAACAGCATTTATTGTATAATGAACCGTTTAAACGCCTGCATAGCGCATGCATGTTATACAACTGGATAGACGGACAGACGTACAAGTGTCCCTGAAATAGTGAATAGTACCCCTAAAAGTAATATTTAAAGTACCCTGGTAATAATCAAAGATAAAACTTTAGTAATTAGAACGTCATACAACTAGGTTTATAAAAATTATAAGAATAATTTAAAATAGTAAGTTTATTATTTAAATAATTATTAATTGTATATTTAATCATTCATAATGAGCCAGGTATCGTAAATTCAGTGTTGGGACTTGAACTCGACAAAACGGCCAAATAGCTAACACTATCACTACCATATATCATAAAATTAAACGCGTAGCAGGTCTAAATTGTAATATTTGTATTTTCTTTATTATCTTTTTATATTACGTAGGTTACTATTTTAAATTATTTTCGAAACCATTAAATCTATATGATAATATATAATACAATAGCGTCTCTATAAAAAAAAAAAAGAAAAAGACACAATACATAAATTATCATTAAATAATATTATACATTAAGTTATTACAATTAAAAATTATTGAAAAATGAAAGATAACTTTCCACACCAGCACCACTATTTGGTCTGCTATTAGATCCACTAATAGCACTATTAGGTCTACTATTAGGAACAGCAACACTATTAGATCTACTAATAGGAACAACAACACTACTAATAGGAACAACAACACTATTAGGTCTACTAATATGAGAGATAAAACTACTAGGTCTACTAGTAACATTGTTTTCGATATTAAATTCTATATCTCTTTTTTTTCTATCACGTTTGAACCATGCAACGATCATAGAACGTTTCCAAATGAGTGATGCTCCCAATAAAACTAAAAGTAAACTACCAATTGCTATACCAATAATTCCACCGATTCTACTAGTAATCATTCCTCCAGATTTAACATTACTTTCTGCAATTTTTGATTTCCCATCTTTATTTTCATTTTGTTCATCATCACTCTGTTCATTATCATTATCATTATCACCTCCATCTCCAGGTGTTGATTTTTCGGGTATTTTCGTTTTATAATATATTACTTGATATGCCATTAATCCTTGCCATGGTGCGTTATAATCTAATGCAACCTACATAAATTACAAAAGAATATTTTAAGAAAAGTTTTAATTATATACTTAAGCATAAATATATAGCAAAACCATTTACCTCTGTAGAATTATATTTAGTTCTATCATCAATATATAAGTCTTTTTTGGAGGGACCACCAACAACAGCACCGTAAAGTATATTTGTGGACTCAATAGGTAGAAGCATATTATTAGTAGTGCTGCCATGAGCACCAGCATGATGAGGATTTTTAGGGGATTTAGGATTTATTCCAACTACATAAGTCATTTTCATAGGATTTTCACCAAGGACGTACTTAATTTGAGATTGTGCGAATTCCATATATTTTGAACGCTTTTCGGTTGTAGTAGCATAAGGAGCATATAGTAAAGAAACAAACGCAATATTTAATGGAACATTTAAACTATTAGTATCGCTAATACCATTACACCATAATAATCCACCAGGAGTATAAGAACATGGACTTTTTGGTACTAATGAAGGATTTAACATATAATCTAAATATTTTTCAGCTTGCAATTTATATGATAATTCATTTCCCTTTGTTATTTGAACGAGTAAAAAATATATCGCACAAGTTTGATCAGACCAATTAATGGCTATTATGGAATCGGGTATAAAAAACTGAGTATAATAATTTATAGCTTTGTTAAAATAAATTTCTTCACCTGTTGCTTTATATAACCAAAGTGCGGCCCAAACCAATTTATCCTGATAATTTGATGATGGATATAAACTATTAACTTGCGGTAAACTGGCACCATATAATTTCCATGCTTTTGTTTCCGCAAATACATATAATGCTTTAGCACGTAGTAATAAATCATCAGAGTATGTTGAATCCGAAAATTTTTCTCTAAATAAAATTGATGCACTTGCGAATGCTGCTACCACTGATGATGCTACATCCGTACCATGATTTTTCTCTCCCACTTTATATGCATCTCTTGGTAATGGTATGTTTAAATCCCCACCCCAATAATTATGATCCACATCTTCCCTTCCAACTTGAACATATAAATCATTAGTTTCAAGTGAATATGCTTTAATTAACCAATCAGTTCCCCATTTGACCATATCATGTAGATATTGTGTTTGTCCTGATAATTCATAACCTTCAAACCATTCTAATCCTCCCCAACTTATCGATGTTAGTGTCCATGATAACGGGTACGTAAACTTCATATAATCACCTATTATGACCAAAGATATTACCGAAAGGAAGAAAAACGCGTTAATAAGTTAAAAGACGCGTCAATGTATTATAAAATTATGATTATATACGTGAAATTTTAATATATAATGATTCTTACCTGCATCATAATATCCCTACAAAAATAATATAATAGAATACACCATTAACATACATTATAGATCACGTGATAACTTATACTGTAAGTTTATTAGTTTATAGTTGCTTACCCCAGTTAGATCAACCCCTTCTTTTTGTCCATCAAATGGCGCAGAATTATGTCGCCTATAAAGTGTAACCCCGATTAATATTATAAATGAATAATAAAAAAAAAACTGTAATAATACCTACCAAGGAATTCGATTTGTTGCAGATAATATACCACTTCTCTGTGCTTCGTAGAAATAAAGCGAATAAGCTAATAATTTTTCGTAATCATTGTTAGGATAATCTGTTGTTTCCGGTATTCCTTCAACTTCAGGTCCAGGTAGAGTAACTATCTTATGTTCTTGTGCATTTATTATGTTAATCATACACAGAAAAAAACAAATTAAGCTGAGTGTAACTTTTGATTTTATTTTCGTTGTCATGATTTTATTATTAGAAAAAGTAGAAAAAGTAAAAGGTAAAAATATAATACAAAATATACAAAACTGTACAAAAAAGAAAAGAAAAGGTTTTTTCTCATAAAAAAAAAGAAAGAAAGAAAAGAAAGCAGAAAAAAATTTGCAAACGATTTTTTTTTTTCTTTTCGACTTTTTTCAGTTTCATGTTTATAATGCTTATATATATGTATTATCATCTCTTTTTTTTTTTGTAAAAANTTAAAGAATTAATGAAATATTAATGAAAACGAAAGAGAAAGAATTTTGTAAAAGGAGTGGGAAAATAAAATTTTTTTTTTGTAAAAAAAAAAAAAAATCTGAAACATAATCTATATGTAGAGTTGATTACAAACCTATTCTTGAATCAAATTTTCGAATAAAATTCTATTCGAAGGCTATTTTCTTTTTGTTTTTTTCCTTTTAGGGTATGTAACATCAAATATTATCATTTGAGCATCTTGCATATATCAAAAGAAAAATAAAACATAACAATAGATAGCATGAAATGATTGCACAACATGCATTAATACTTTATTTCTTATTTTATTTTTTTTATTCATTCATTTACATTAAATTTAAATAATTCTTTAAAAATAAAAAAATTCATATAAATTACCATATCAATTAAATCATAATTAGATCTATCAACTGTTTCATGTTGTACTGTGTTACTCGAACTCTAGTCGACCAATCCTAATTTATTTTTGTTTTTGTTTCCGTCATTACAATTTAGTAAAATACCGCTCTCCTAAACCGATTTTTCCGGGGAAAAAAATCAATAACTCCGAGTTTGGTATATTTTTTTTTAAACAACTCCGACTTTTACTATTTTTCAACAAATGATTATAAGGACATTTATTTATAATCGATATTAATAAATATTTATAAATATATGCTTTTTTTTTTAAACAAAGAATCGTGTAACATCATCATATTGGGGTGTAGTAATTAATTTGATTAAAAATATCGTTAAGGTTTCATTTTAAAGGATTTTCTTTCTTCCTCAAATTTTTTGTATTAATACTTTAGGATTTATAGAAAATACTCTATAAAATATCAAAATGCTGTATAATAAAAAAATTTAATTAGTGGATTCGCGTCTCCCCAATTTAATTTTTATTCTGCTTTATTTATTTTTTTTTTTTACCCGTTATGCCATTAAAATAAAAATAAGTTCCGTAAAGATACTTTTCAAACAAATTCACTTACCCTGATCAGCCCAATATTTCTAGAATAGAATATTCTAATTAGAGATATGACGACGAATTGCGGAAATCATGTGAATTTGCATCTCTTTTGAATTCAGACATATTTTTTTAAAAAAATAGATTTATGAAATCGGGCAATCGACATTCTGGGCTATCATGATTAGGTTTCTTTTTACGAGACAAATTTTTTTACAAGATAAAAGTATTTATTAACTTTTTTTCTTAGGTGTGATGGTAAAATGTCGTTCATCTATGTATAGTAGCCTTTTAAGGTTAGGATATACTTAATTTTGTAATTAATCTACAGATTTTCTCAGAACGGTAATTTGATAGTTAAATTTAATTGAATAGAATGTTTAAGCATAAATGCGCACGTTATAACGGAAAAAAAACACACAAATCTGCGGGCAATAGTAGTTATCCTGCCTTAAATGGATACTTTCATAGAACCTAAAAAAACCTAGAGGCGGTAATTTCGAGATAATCTGCTGATTGGATAGACGGAAGAATGGTGTTGCATTGGCGGAAAATTATTAAAGTTGCAGTTCGTGTTCTGTATAATACAAGTGTGCATATTTTTTGCAAGAGGTAAATGATTTACAAATGAATTGAACCAAGGAATGATTCTATTATTTGATTTTTGTTAATTGGTTTTCTTTAGACAAGTTAAAAAAATATCAAAAAGATTAATGTTTCATGTTAGATCTTTTAGGCATTCACACGACTTGATGACAAGAACGAATACGAATATGAATGGAACACTTTACAATACTCGTGGTGATTATCTTGCGTGGTGTAACAAATGTGAATTTGATCATGTATATATCAAAACAATTTGTGTTGATAAAGTAATCCTTTTGAGGATCATTCAACTTGATGGCCGAGATGAGTATGTATTAGTAAAATTTTTGTTGTAATTAATGGAATGGGCGAGTGAAAATCCAGAAGTTGATGATATCTTTAACGAAATGCAAAAAAAAAAGATAAGTGCTGTTTGCATTTAACAATGTGCGAAATTTTCAAAAAGATTTGTGAATTTGCAACAGTATACTCGGTCGTTAATGTTAATTGAGAATTTATTATATAACTAAATTATTATCACATATTCTGTGCTGCATTAGATGATTCCAAAATAAATATGTGGTCTGACAGTTTCGTGTGTCAAAAATGGGAATAATGGGCAATGCCGCAATGGTCAGTTGACAAACATACCTTAATTTATATTTTTGCATTCATTAATGTACCAGTCCGAGTCATATAGAAATTTTTTCATTTAAGGTACATGTAGACAACATGGTAAGTTTATATTTTTGCATTCATTAATGTATCAGTCCGAGTCATATTTGCTTACAAAAAAATTTTTTCATTAAGGTACATGTAGAAGACATGGTAAGTTTTGAAACAATAATTTCAACTTGTCTCCTTATTTAGCTTGTTACTAATAATGCTTGGGTTGGTGATTTTTTAAGAGAGGCAAAAAAGATTTTTATGAACCAAGAATTTTTTGAGTTATTGTATCCTTTTAAAAAACAAAAAGAAAATCTATTTTTACTTTAAAAAAATAATCAAGACTTTTATCAAAATTTTGTATCTGATAGCAAAAATTTATGTTATTATTAGGAAAAAATCCTTAAAATTAACAAGAAAATTTTTTTCTAATAAATTAAATACTTAAAAATGAACATTATAGCAACTAGCAAATAATTCAAATAGGCAGACTAATGGTATTAAAAATACTGGCTTAATTACAGATAATTAATAAATAGTTCTTTGCTGTATTTTTTTTTTTATTATTTAGTTAAAGGGAGTGGTTTTTCTTGTTTAAAGGAGAAATTACATGAATCAAACCTATACTAAACAATTAGTACTCTACTCACTAGCAAATATACCATGAATCACATAAAGGTACCAATTGAACCAATAGAAAAAAAAAAGAAAACAAAAAACAAAGTGAAAAAATAAGGTAATAATTAGTAACAAAGCCTTTTACCAACTACTACACTCCTAAAACTAAAACAATTTAGAATTATCCTTGTAAACTTTATTAAGATATTTCTAGTTTTCAAGTATTGATTGAATTTTAGTTAAAACTGCAAGTTTGTTGATACCATCCAAAGATTTGTCAATCTTCTTGATTTGCTTAAATACTACAGTCAAACCTTGATATAGCAAACTCTTGATATAGTGAATTTTTCAGACAACTATAATAAATTTCCCCTCGCTATAACGAATTAACCAATCAAATTTCTTAAAATCTTCACTATAACCTTATAGCAAAGTTGAGATCTGGACCCTAGGGTTCATTATAACAAGAGTTGACTGTATCTGCTTCTTACTTAACTGTTTCAGATTAGTATTCTTTTAAATCATCATTCTAATTCCCCTTCTGATAGCAGTTTCTTTTTATTCTTAAATTAAGAATATAATATCTTTTCCAATTTTCAATATATTCATACAGATTGAATACTATACCAAGCAAAGATTTCTTTACTATATTTTAAACTAAATAAAAACAAATATTTTATTACAAGGTTATTAATTCAATTTTATATTGTAGGTAGAGCTCTGAAAATGACTCGCATAAACTCGCATTTTTGACTCGCATAATTGTAAATTTTCGTTTAATTATATTCTAACTTAATAAAAAGTACTTTAAAATTAAGGTTTTTGACTCGTGACTTGACTCAACTCAATTCATTAAGAGCTCTAATTGTAGGTATTTTTTTTTATATTTTAAAAAATTTACAAAAATGCAGTATAGTAAAATTTAGAGTTGCTTGCCTAAATCTATTTGGAATTTGGCTAAATATTTAAATCTCCATCAGTTTCATCAGTTTTTTAATAAAAGTTTAATATAAGTTTATTATTTACTAATATTTAATATAGTTTAGTTTTATTTTTTATTATAATTCATAATTTCACTAATTTTTTAATAAGACTTTTTGTCAAATTTTACCTTTTATTATTTTATCAATCTGTTAAATCTTAAGTAATCTTAATAGATTTTATAGTTTCTTAAGTTAAGAAAATAGAATAATATACTAAAATAGAAGTAATATATATATAGGTAATAAGAAAAATTAAAAGTTTTATAATAGTTTTATGTAAGATTTTTATTGAAATAATAAGCAACTTCAATATATGACTTTATAAATTGCCAATCTAATTATATGACTTTATAATATTATAATTAATTTTTCATATTTATAATATTTTACAATAAATTTATTTTTTTAATTATATTATTTTAATTAAAATATTTATTATGATAATTTTTTTATACTTTATTAATTTTTGCATATTATAATTATTATATTAGATATTATATAATATATTATTAGATAATACAAATTTATCCAAAAAATAAGTAAATGTAATATATAACTTTTCAAAAATTTTATAAAAAATAAGCAAATGAAAAATATCATTAATTTTATATAAATTTAATTTTTAATTGTAATTAAAATAATATATAACTAAACAAATAATATTGTCACTATTAAATATTAAAAATTATATATAGTAATAAATAGAAAATTATTATTTATTACTAATGTGATTTATCACTAATTAGATCATTAAAAATCATTTAAGTAGAAATTATTCATTATTATATATATATATATTTATTAATATTATATATTTAAAGTTAAGCAATTCTAAAGGTTTTGTGATTGTCAACAAGATTGTTGTTAAAAATGTTGTATTTGTTTATTTTATATACATTATTATTTTTTATATTAAACTTATTTATTAACTTAACTAGTAATAATGTTTATAGTTTATTTAATTTAGAATAATTAATTGGAAATAAATAATTAAAATGTATAAATAAAAAGAATGTATTAATATTTAATAAAGTAAAAAAATGTATTAAAAAGAAATATATTAATAGAATACAATAATGTTAATAATTAATATTTAGTAATTAATCAGGTTTATTAATGCATTTTCATTGCATTGCAGGAATGGTTGACCTATTTTCTGTATTTTTTTGTGGTATAATACACCTATTTAATATAGAGCTAAGTATTATAATTAATAAATTTTAAAATAAAAAAAAATATTTAGTAATTAATTTGCTTAAATAATAATATTACCTATATTTTAACTAATAATATTACATGATTAATTCTTTAAACATATAACATTTGAGGCTTAGTGATATATCATTATAATGATAAAAAATAAAACTCTAATAAATAAATTTATTTATAAAAAATATTTAAATAAATTATAATAAAAATATAAATATTTTAATTAGAAATAATTTTTTAATATTTATTTTATAATTAATTAAATAATAATTAAAGAAATAAATGGAATGATTTAGCATTCTTATTTCTATTGGTGTGAACATTAGGCTATATATATATATATATATAGTCATCTAGAGATTTTGGCTATATAATAATGATATAGCTACATAGATGACAGGTCAACTTTTTCTTTAAAGAAATAGTTATATCTCATAATATATATTCTGTTCAAATTATTTTGGAATGCTATAATTATAATTTGGAATGCTGTAATTCATTCAGTTTATATGTAATTTACTATATAAAGTGCCAAAATAATTTAGAATACTATAATTGAATTTGAAATTTTACTTATAATTATCACAATCTAAAATAATTTAGACAATATATATTATATCTTATAATGCTTAATTTTTATATATATTTTATTTTTTATTTATATAAGTTTAATATATATAATTATTCTACAGCCAAATAGTATCATACTTTTTTCATCACGCTGATATTTTTTTATTAAGCTATAAATAAACTACTATTGCATATTTATTATTGATATTTTTGATATTGTTTAATCAATAATTTATTGTATTTATAAGATGATTATTGGCAGCTGCAAAAATAACTATTATGTAAGCATAATATAATATAATAAGATCGCATTTATAATAAAGTAAAAAAATAATATTATACTAATTATTTGCAAAAAAAAAATAATATAATTTTTATGTAACTTTTAAGATTATAGTTTATAAGTAATTTTACCTGCTTTACAAATTTACTTAATATTTAAAAAAGATTATAAATATTATTTTGATATTTATAACTTAAAAGTAAAAAAATAAATTCATTCTAATTAAAATATTTAAAAAATAAAATTATATATTTTTTTAAAAAATAAAAAGTATTTATATTTTATAAATATTATTATATAATATAAAATACAATACTTTAAATATTTTGCAAACAATAAAAAATCAGTTAATACTTTTAAAATATTATACTTGAAAATAAATAAAATTTTTTATAAACAAAGAATATTTATATGTATTACTTAAAAAAACTTATATATATTATATAATATTTAATTTAATATAAGTTTATTATTTTTCTTTTTTTTTATTAAATTTAATAACTCATTAAATTATAATATTTATAAATTATATGATTTTATTAAATATAATATAAGATTTTAATTATTTTTTTCTTTTAATAAAAGTAAAATAAATTATAGTATAAATAATTTTTTTTAAAAATTTTTTAAAAAAAATGATTGACAAAAAATCATGTAAAATATAAATTTTTTAAAAAAAATGATTGACAAAAAATCATGTAAAATATAAATTTTCTAAAAAAAATGATTGACAAAAAATCATGTAAAATATAAATTTTCTAAAAAAATAATTTTAATTCAGATTATTTAATTTAGAGATTAAGTTAATAAAACTCATATTAATATATAAATTTTTATTTTGATTAAAATTAATAAAATAAAAAAACAATTAAACTTGTATAATTTATAAAATTTAATATTAATATTATAGGTAGTATTAAGTAACTATAGTAATAAAAAAATAAAAATAAAAATTTTTGATTTTTAATTCATAAAATTCTATAAAATATAGTAAAAATGATAAAAATGATAAATTTAATTTTTGAATTTTATGATTTATATCATATATGAATATATTATAAATATAAATAATTCCATTATCAATAAAGATTTTTTCATTCCTAATACAAATTTATCAATAATCAGCAAATTTTTAATTTTTAAAACTTTTTGATTTAAAATATATTATAAATACAAAATAATTTCCATTATCAATAAGGGACATATTTAAGGTTACTAATGTATAATAATAATTGTAAATCTTAAATAAATAAAGTAATTTAACAAATTTTAATTTTTGAACTTTTATGATCTTATTATTATAAAAAATAAGGGGTTATATTTAAGATTATTCCTAATACATAGTAAATCTTAATCATATATGAATGTATTATAAGTACAAATAATTCCATTATCAATAGGGAGTTCATTCCTAATAACTGTAAATCTCAAATAAACATTCCAATATTCCAATCTTCCATTATTCCATTATTCTTTATTCTTTATTCATTTATTCATCCCTGTAACACATGGCTAAAATACAAGTTTTACTTTTATTACTCTCGTTTAAATAATCTGAACCGTTTTTTTCCGAACCATTCAAGTACCATTGCACAATGTAATACATCTAAAAACGGTTTTTTTTTGTATTCAACGCACTTCGAGTCTTAATTAAGAACCCTATTTTACAAAGGATTTCGAGTGAAAAGTTTTCGGAGCTGCTTAATTTGAGTGCTATTTAATTAATCATAACTTTTAGAGTTTGAAATGCCAAGATTTTACGTACCATGTGTTGGATAAAAAAAAAAACTCCAGCGATGACATGAAAAATATTCCTATGATAAGGAGTCATAGGTATAATACCAAACGTAATAAAAATATTACTAACAGGTAATGCAATAATTAACAATGGATATTTTCACAATAAAATCATCATTGAAACATATGATTTCCTTAATATTTCTCTTTTATTAATTTAACAAAATCAAGTAGATGCTTTTTGTATCGTTTTCTTTTTGTAAGAAATCCAAATAGAACTTTTCCAAAATTTAAATTTGTTTTTTTAATAATTTGGTATTCTCTACACAACATTACCCCCCGTAATTAACTACTAATAATAGCTAATGAGAAATTATACGTCTCGGTAAATTCCATACTCTATAAAGAAAAGAAACGCACCTCACCTTTAAAGGAAGGGACTTACATTTTCAATTAATAAATGAATGTTTATCGATGATCGATGATCACTAATCCAAAAAGCGTAGTTGATTTTTTCGCCAATGAGTAAACGTTGTGGCGTTTTGTTAGAGCTGGCTGAAACGCTCGTTTCTTTCCGATCTTTTTAATAATGAATGACGTAAAAGAAGCTATTCATCTAAAGTCAATAAATTCCAGAAAAAGGAAACAATTGTGAAATAATGATCATAGGATAATTTTCTCCGGGCGCTAAAGTCCGTAATTTTCATTATCCTGAATGCGCAGTAACATAATGCAGTAGTTTCCAAATTTGTCGACTGAATGCAAAACAGTAAACAATTACGCCAATCAGATAATGCCATGTTCTATTCAATCTATTCAATCGGTCATTTTGAGTCATTTTATAAATTGCATATTTTAAGGGACCGTTTTTAATAATAATTGTTGTAACAATTCAAACAATAAAATGACCTAAATAAGAAAAAAAAAAAAAAAAAATT